ACGGTCTTACTCCAAAACACTCACGGCTGCGCGGTGGCAAACAAGTCCTCCGGAATGAGCGCCTTCGCACCTGCTTTCACTACGTAGCCGTGAGCGTGAACATGCAGTACGCGGGAACTCGGTTGAGCGGGGAAAGGACGTACCGGCGTCCGCGACCTGCTTGCGGATCTTCTCCGCGCTCGCGACGCTGACGACAGGGCCGAGGTTCGTCCCCGGCAGTGTCGGGTCACCAAGCTTGTATCCCTGTATGGAAGTGAATGTCCAATGAGTAGGACGAAGGGGGGGCGGAAGAGAAGAGGGCGGGAAAGAGCCTTCGCGAGGAAGCGCACCTTCACAAGCTCGACGAACTTCGCGACGAAGGGTTCGTAGATCGATTCGTGGACGTATATGCGCTATAAACGGATGAGATGGGCTGCACGACAGTCGCGGGACGCCGTTGGCGAATGCTTACCTCGACGGCACAGCAGGACTGGCCCGAGTTGAACATCGCGCCTGGTATATGCGCGGTCAAGTCAACACACCAGGCGTACCAGCAGAAGGGAAGCACGTACCGTCTACCAGCTCGGCGGCCGTGTAGTCGAGCTGCGCATCCGCGCGCACGTACGCCGGATCCTTTCCACCGAGCTACACCCCCACATGTCCTTCGTCACCGACACGTCTCCCAATGACCCACGCGAAGTCGACGCACCTCAAGACCAACACCCTTGAATCCCGCGCCCGCCGCCGCCTGCGCGACCGCCTTCCCGCCGACGACGCTCCCCGTGAAGCTGACAAAGTCGACCTTCGGGTGTGTCACGGCAAACGCGGCGAGCTCCGGCGAGAGGTGGGCGACCTGGAGGAGGTCCTGGGGGAGCCCGGCGCGCGACCAGGCGAGGGCGAAGCGCTCGGCGGTGAGCGGGGTCTGGGGCGACGGTTTGAGGATGACGGAGTTGCCGGCGACGAGGGCGGGCAGGACGGAGTTGATGGAGGTGAGGTAGGGGTAGCTGTGGTAGAAGTAGAGGTCAGGCGGTCTGGGAAGGAACGCATGAGGGTGAGACGCACTTCCAGGGAGCGATGACGAGGACGACGCCCATGGGGGCACGCTTGATGTACCGCCGGAAGCCAGGCTTGTCGGTGTCGGCGAGAGAGACGTCGGCGAGGCTGGACTCTGCGATGGAGAGCATGTATGCGGCGCGGTCGAGGGTGCCCCTGACCTCCCCGGGTACTTGGGAGACGGGACTATGGATTGCACGAGCGCAATCTCAGCGGCGAGGCAAGACAGGGAGGCGAGGAACGTACCGGCCCATCTGCACTGTGAGTTCCAAGGAGATCTCCTCGCCCATGGCCTTGAACTCATCCTGCAAAGGCAGCCACGCACTTAGACGGTGCTACATTCGCATTCCCGTACCACGTACGCACCATGAACTTCGTCGCAATAGCGATCCTCTCCTTCAGCGGCACACGAGCCCACTGCTTCTGGGCAACCTCAGAGCGTTCGATGACATTGTTGAGCGCGGACTGGGACGGATATGTGCGGGTGACGAGAGGCTGCTGGGTGTGGGGGCTGATGGTCGTCTGGGACTCGGGCGCGGACATGGCGGTGGCGGATGAACGCGTGGTGAGAGCAGATCGCGATCACGGACGACTCGTACATTCTCAATCTCAGATCACCCTCCCCGCTACACCCGGGCCGGCTCCAGTCGTTCAGCAACATCGCTCGTGTGCGTACTTGTGGCACCCAATCTCATGTCCAGGCATCCTGGTGTACGATAAGCTGAGGAGCATGGTTCTGGATGGCGGGAACGCGACGCTACTTGGCGGCGGACAGCACAGAGGTGGGACAGGCGCCTTCAACGCATTCAAAAGTGTGTTCTACGCGCATGACTCCGCAGCTGAGTACTACGCCTCACTTTGGAATGCCCGCAGGTCGTTGGCGCGACAGGACGATCTCGATAGGTCAGAGGATATGCCCCATCTCTATGCCGTCACTGAATCCTCCCACAAATTCATTGACGTAGTCGACGCGAGGTCCGGTTTTTGAAGCCAAGAAGTAATCGAGAATGCAAGCTCTGGGGCGCCAGAATACACAGTCACATTGGCTTGCAACTTGAGCACGCCCAAATGGCCCACCACAATCTAAACGGGAGGCTGTGTTCCGTATCATCGCATAGCACGGCCGAGTCCTTGCTGAGAGACACTCCGCCCACAAAACGGAAACCCCGCTCCAGAGCTGTGATGCGCCTTTTTGAGATGGTAGTCCGCCTACAGATCCGAGCATTAGTCAGTCTACTGGCCGTAGTGATGCGTCATCGGCTCACCTTGCCTTGGTAAGCATGGATTGTCGGGCTCGAGTATGAGACGATTAACTTACCAGAACCCACACGGTATTGCGTGGCTTGCGCTCGCCAGAGCCGCGTCCTCGTCTATGCGCGGCGTGACGCACCGTTCCCTCCCAGTCTGTCCAATGTTACGCCAAACCCACGGTGTCTTGATATGCACGTCTGCGATAGACATGGAACGCAGCCTACTAATTTTCCATCATGATGTGCTACTTCAAGACCTACTGATTACTCTTCATAGATCGCCCGTATTCCGGGCCACGACCGAGTAGCAAGTCAGAGCCCGCGCACGCTCAAGCAGAGCACAGACTCAGAGCAGAGAAGTGAGGGGGTTTGAAATGAAAGAACTTCAACTCAGAATGGACCAGCGTGTCGGTCACGTGGGCGCGACCCGTATCGAGCGGAACCCTTGGATTTTCGAAGATCAGAGGAGGTTTGGCAAGTTCGGCAAGTGTCTTCCTGGTGCATCTTTCTGTATGTACTCACCGTCGACAGCAAGGCAAGGACTGGATAATCTGCAGCGTACAAGTTGTGTGCCGCCTGAGCGGTTCACTCAAGGTTCTCTTCGGCTGAGTTGCCAATCAATATCGTTATGCTGGCCCCCACTCTCCTTGGGGAGGGGCAACGCCCGCAAGGGCGAATCTGTTTGTTCGTGTTTGGAATTAGTGGCATTGGTCGCGAGAGTGGTAGAAGCACTGTATCACAAACATGAGCTCCCTCAGATGCTTTGGTGTCCGCGGATGCAACGGGATTGAGAGCCATGAGGCCATAGAAGGTTTTGTTAGGTTACATGGACGAGAATTCCGATTTAATGAGTGTGGCTCATGTGTGTTTCCTCAATCATGGAGTGAAAGACAAATATCCACACAATGAAACCACTAATGAAACACTCATATGTACTCTCGCAATATATTTGTCACCAATGACCAGGCATGAATGCCTTTGCTTCAGGTTAGATACACGGTATACTGATAGGCACGAAGACGCGCGAGATGTCTCCGCCACAAACGCGTCGTACGGTCACGTGAGCAACAACAACGCGGTTACCCGTTCATCTCCATGCGCGTAACAATGTCCGTTCTCTCTCAAACATATCTCCTTTCGATAGGTGAGTTGAGGTATAAATGTACCATGGTCCCTGAATTTAATCGGGAGTTTCCTAGATTTATTCTGCGCTTAATTCGTGCCCTGAAGTTCAGCTACAGCATAATACACCAATAATCATCCTCGGAGACGCATACATCATTAGCACGAGTATGGTGGCCAAAGGAACATATAAATCATGTACTAGACCGAGGCGGAAGGGACGCTCTTCAGCACAGAAGGCAGCTGCAGCCAAGGGAGCTCTGGCTAGTAGAGCTCAGTATCATGGAGACTCAGACTCAGACTCGGCACTGGCGAGAGAGAACATACCTGTAATGGGTCCACAGTCATCTGGGATGGCTATTTTTTCGGAGTGGAGTGTCAGTGATATAGGTTACTTCCTTGCCAAGTGACAAACAAAACTCACTGTCATGTAGAAAGCTGAGATGGAGGACTTGCCGGCGCATGATGGGACTCAGCACTGGCATAAGCTTGCCGAATCGAGGAGACAACTGCACAACAGTCAGCGACGAGAAGCACGTATGAAGAAACGAATGAATGTACTCAAGGACAAGCTTCGAGTCAAGACAAATCTTCATGCATCTGTTGAGAAGCACAACACCGAGTTAGAGGGCAAGATCGTGCATCTTCAGCAGGAGGGGCACGAACTTCGCACGACCCTGGTCGGAACACGCAGCGCAATGGTCGATAAGCTACGTGGTTGTCAAAATACTATTCGAAAGCTTCGCAAACGCAGCGAGCGTGCACCCTGTGTTCTCGCGAACGCGATTGAGAGGGCGAAGTCACGGCCAGCGATCTTTCGTTTGAAGCGGAAGGGTGTTTACACGCCAGCCGCGCGGTCGCTTGCGCGCATGTTGGTGCGAGGTGGATGTTCACAGAAGAAGGTCGGAGACGCCATGCAAAGCGTTGCGGGAGCGTTAGATGTTCGACGACACCTGTCACGAACATATTCGCCGCGAAGCACGTACCTTCGACAGCAGTGGCCACGAGGCCGAGCGCCGCAGACGTCAAGTCGAGCACGATCTGGCAACTGCTCAGCAGAGATCAGCAGAGGCCGCGGAGAAGAAGCGCAAGGAAAATGAACGGGAGGCCAAGCTGCGTGCAGTCAAGTTCGTAATTGACGAGGAGGGCCTGGCGAAATTACGCAGACCTGACATTGATCAGCAGCTTCAAGTCTATCGGCTCGACGATAAGGAGACCCCCGCACCTTCGTCTTTGCACAAGAAAAAGGTCAAAAAGCCCGAGGCATTACTAGAGCTGAGGAAGGCGATTGCGCGTGCAGAGGCCCGCCGTACACTGGCTCTTTCGAATACTGCTACATCTGAGTCAGACAGCATTACAGCGAGTTTGACACAACGAGCAGGGGAATCCCACATAGACTATGATAATGACTCGGACCTAGATTGTTAGACTATAACATACATTTTAGTATAACGTACTCGTAATTTACTCTGGATAGATGTCTTGCCTGTAGAGCTTGAACGCGATCAGTGCGATGTATACGCCACACCAGCGCCACACGATCGAGGTCTGACCAAGTTTGCAGTGGCGCGTCGCTGACTAAGCGGCCACGGGCGTCGCAGGGCTTGCCCCTCCCCACTCTCCTCCGACTCGTCGTTCCTCGTTCCCACTTAGTCACCATGACGCACACACCCTTCTCGGCATATATCAGTGCCCGAATGTGACAACACTTATTGGCAGTTGACCTCAACCCGCATCTCCTCCACCCACTATCCTGCGCGTCGTACTAGCCCCCGTCTAACATCCAAATGTCTGTCGCAAAGAAGTCTATGCCATATGGTGCGTATCCTGTGCTCTGTTGGTGTATTCCGCTGCAGTCCCTGACGCGTCCGATGTCGGCAGTCCGCCTGGGCAAGTCTGGCCTGAAGGTGTCGAAGATCATCCTGGGATGTATGTCGTACGGCCACAAGGGCTGGAGAGAATGGGTCATTGACGATCAGGAGGAGGTCAGCAAGCACATAAAATACGCGTGAGCCCTTCACTTGACCCGCTGCATCGCGCCCTTCGACGAACGCGGACGACAGCTACGACCACGGCATCCAGACCTTCGATACGGCAAATGTACGTCCATTCTTTGCGCATCTCGCGCATACCTACGGGTGACGCAGACTCGCTCTCAAGATGTACTCGAACGGCTGCTCCGAGGTCATGCTCGGCAAGGCCATCAAGGAGCTCGAGCTGCCCCGCGAGGAGCTCGTCATTCTCACCAAGGTCAGCCCATCCCCTCACAGGCCCATCGCTCCGCTCAGGCGACGATGCGCAGGTGTGGCATCCACTCGCGCCAAAATTCGGCATGGACGTGACGCTAGCGAGTGCGGCGGACCACGGTATCATCAACCAGAAGGGTCTGAACCGCAAGGTGCGTTCGATCGTTCGGGGTTGCTTAGACGGTGCGCGTATAATGACATGGTGTGCTTCCAGCATATCTTCGACTCTATCAAGAACAGCCTCGAGCGTCTGCAGCTCGACTACGTCGACGTACTCCAGTGTATGTCTCGAGTCGCGGCAAACTGCTTGGATTCTTTGATGTTGACACATGCTCCTTCCAGGCCATCGTTTCGACTACGATACACCGATCGAGGAAACGGTCCGTGAATGTCTGTTAGCCGATCCGAACCCACTCTGACCCTCCGCAGATGCAAGCCCTCCACGACGTCGTGCAGGCCGGGTACGCCCGATACATCGGCATGAGCTCGTGCCACGCCTACCAGTGTACGTATCCGTGCTGACAGCACCTCATACTGCAATGCTGACGAAACTCACAGTCCACGCCATGCAGAGTGCGCACCCCCGCCTTACTTTCAAAAAGAACACATCTCGACGCTGACACCTTACTACCCGCGCCAACAGACTACGCCATCCAGCACAAGCTCACGCCCTTCATCTCGATGCAGAACCACCACAGCCTCGTCTACCGCGAGGAGGAACGCGAGATGTTCCCCACACTCAAGGTGCCGTCCCCCAGCCCGTCCCGACCCTTTGTTCTCAGGCTGACAGTCTGCGCGCAGATGTTCGGCGTCGGCGCGATCCCGTGGTCGCCCCTCGGCCGCGGCATCCTCACCCGCCCGCTCTCCGCGCAGACGAAGCGCGGCGAGACCGACGCGTCAGTACCGCCCCTCCGCCCTGCAGTCGCGCGTGCTCATCTGGCCCTCCTGCAGCGCCGCGGGCCCGTACAAGACGTGGGCGGGCACCGCCGACGTCGTCACCCGGTACGTCTCTCCGCCGCGGACATGCTGTTCCTTGCTGACCAGGGTATGCAGGGTGGAGGAGCTCGCGGGCAAGAAGGGGGTGAGCATGGCGCAGGTCGCGCTTGCGTGGAGCTTGGCGAAGGACGGTGAGTGCGCGTGGAGTCGGGCGGCGCGTTCGTGGTGTTGATGTGGACGCGCGTTCTGCGCTGCAGACGTGTCGGCGCCGATCGTGGGCACGACGGGCCTCAAGAACCTCGAGGAGCTCATCGGTGCGCCCCAGTCCCCGTCTGCGTCTGCGTCTCTGAGGTGCTGACGGTGCTTGACGGACAGACGCGCTGGACGTCGAGCTGACTCCGGACGAGATCAAGTACCTCGAGGAGGCATACAAGCCGATCGCAGTGTATGGCCACTCGTAAGCGATAGTGGAACGCGCGGGCGTGGGGCAAAGATGCGTGCGACGCGCAGACGAGTGTGGTTTCCTCGCAAAATGGGTAGTATGGAGTCCAGGCATGTGTCATGCATGGTACAGTAGGAAGTATGACTCACATGTGTACGATAGTGATAGCAACTCGCAAAATGGAAGCATGGATTACACTGCGTCCCACTGGATGTGCCTGCGGCGGTCCCACTGTGTATATCTTCCGCCTGATCAGATCGACGATATGATTCAAGTACGTCGTAGTGCTGCTAGTGATGGAACTAATGGAGGGTGGTATCAGGTGGCTGTCTGCACAGGTAAGCCGCCATTTCGTCTGCCAATTTGCTATGCCGATCTGATCCAATCGAGCAAGTTGACTTACAAGGTTATGTTGATGCCGCGACCTGAATCTATTAGCAGTACACAACAGGCATTCTATACAACGGTACTGCACGGCAATGTTGTCGCGTCCACCGTTCTCAAGCTGCTGCTCCCCATCTACAGCTCAGATCGCCTGACGACGTCGCTCTCCTGCGGAGTGAAGGTAGGTTCCGCGCGGAAGCCCAACAGGTACTCCATAATTTGGTATGCAGCCTGCGCCGGTTGCAATCAGGTGCGCTCAGCATCGCTCTACAGATTTGCACTCACCGCTGGAGAGAACTCGGGTACCATATGCCCGCTCAGCTCGACCTCGAAGTAGGCCAGGCCACGCTCGTAGTGGGCCGTGCCCAGCGCGCCGACGCCGTCGACGATGAAGCTGTCATTCGCGATAGGTGTTTGGAATCCCTGCATACCGTTCCCTACGCAGGCCACGTCACGGCCACATCAACATCGGATTCATCCCCGCAGCACAGTCAGAGCACTCACAAGTCATGCTACCATCGCGCCCCACACCCATCAGCCGACCGCCCACAGCACAACACAACACACAACACAAGGCACCACTCACTTCTGCAGCGCGATCCGCGTGCCCTCGCTGATCAGCACGAAGTCCGCGAGGCCGTGCACGACCACCGCGCGCGCGCTCTTCTCGATCACGTTCGGGAGCACGCTGAACACGGGCGGGAGGCTATTATCGCCGTCGGGGAACACGTCCACATCGGAGCACTCCGCCCAGGCGACGTCCGCGGGCGCGTGGATCGCCGCCTTCACGTCCGCGCGGTCGAAGTAGAGCGGCGCGAGCTGCGTCTGCGGGAAGGACCCCGGGAAGCCGAGCACGTCCCACAGGATCGGCCACTGCCCGTGAGTTAAGTAAGACGGGCCGGGTCAGCGCGTCTGGACGGAAGGGGGCGGCGGCGGGTGGAGACGCACCGTGTCGAAGATGCGGTAGATGTTGAACGCGGGGTTGACGTCGAGCGCCGCGGCGAAGATCGCGTCCCACACGTCGCACCCGGCGTCGGCCTCGACGCTCGTGCCCGGCAGGGGCAGCAGCCCGGTCGGCGGATAGGCGAGGTACTTGTCCGTGTAGTCCGCGTAGTTGCACGCGGCGGCCTGCGCGTCGAGCGTGTCCATGAACGTCTCGTTGAACGCGAAGACGTTCCGGTACTTGTGCACGAAGCTCACGGCGGGGATCTGCTCTTGGACGACGTCCCACGAGAGCGAGGCTGCGCAAACCCGTCAGAGGTGTGTGGGTGACGGATCGGACATGGAAGAAGGTACGGACGATCGGAGATCCAGAAGCCTTTGAGGTCGAGGTCGAGGGCGTCGGGGTGCTCGTAGATGTAGTTGGCGGTGTCTGCAAGTAGGTATCTGAGACTACAGGCTCGTGCAGATCAACTCAGAAGCACTCACAAGGAACGTAGGTCCCGGCATACTTCGATCACCGTCAGCACTGAAATTGAACGAGAAGCCACGGCGACAGCACCCACACTTTCCCCAGTAGTGTAGAAGTTCTTCCCCTTCAGCTCGGAGAAGACCTCGAGGAACTGGTGCAGGAAGCCAACGAGCTGCTCAGCCAGTTGGTCTTCATTCTACCGACGAGCTCGATGAGACTGCCTCGATCAACAGTGCGGAGACGCCACACCTCGATATCTGGCGTGCCCTGGGAGAAGCCCGTACCGACCGGCTGGTCGATATACAGGATACTCGAGAGATTCGTCCAGCTGTAGTCATTCGGCGTGGGTTTCGCTTGTCCGTGAGACCACTGGAACGGCTGTGATGGTCAGGTCGACGGGATCCATTAATCGGCTATTTTATGAATTATTAGCGAACAAACGAGGACACACCCCGTTCTCTTGCAGGAGGCCCTCCAGGGACGAACATCCGGGGCCTCCGTTGATCCTGGGAAGAGGTTGTTGAACGATCGCGGGATGCATAAGGAGAACACTACGTACCACATGATGAGGTCATCGAGACTGCCTTGCGGACCAGGCGGGAAGAACCAGAAGAACAGCTACGCGGCAAGCTCAACTCAGCGACGCAAACCGTAGTACGTCCAGCACCACACTTACCTGACGCGTCTCATCGGTCTTGTTGCTAATCGGCAGCAAGCCCGCCCAGCTCGGGCCAATGTCCCAATCGACCAACGGGATAGCCGAGCCATTCACCCAGAACTCTGCACGCACCTCAGACCCAGATTCACGCGCATATATGCCATGTAAGTAGAGACTGTGACGCACCTGACGCCTTCGGGTTAGAGAAGGTAATGTTCTTGACGGTGCCCGGACCACCCGCGACCGCGTCGGCTCGTGGCGGGACGGCCCACTTCCTCGCAGCCTGCTCTTGGTATGCGCGAAGCTTGTGCATCGGCATCATCTTCTTCGCATCGACGCCCGCCGCTGCACCGAGCGCCGCGAGCGCGAGCGCTGCACGCGACATCGCAGAGAGCCTCATGGCGGCAGGTGTGTCCCTAAGCTCGAGTAGCGTCCGTGCCTCAGAGATGAGTGCGACAGGGATGACAAGGGGCGAGGGGGAAAGACGGACCTTCGAGACGCACTTGAGCTTTATATATACTGCACATTCGCACACGGGGGCGGACACCCCGAGCCACCCGACGCGACGCTTCGGGGGTGATGGGGGTCGGTGGCGGATGCGTCAATTGGCAGCGTGGCGACCGGGGAGAAGCAGCACGCGAGCGACGGTTCCTCGGAGGAACGCACAGAACCTGCATTCATTACGCCGCACGAGGCCGGTCTCGGGCGATGTTTCAGGCGGCCTTCGCTGCTATCTCCACTAGCCTCGCATCCTCGTAGTAGACTGTAGTAGAGTGCAAGTAGAGTGCATACTTACCATTCTCATCCCCCGCGGCCATGCTCGGATCAACCCCGACGCGGCTCGGAGCCAACACTTCGTCTGCACTTCATGCCACGCTGAGATGTCGACAGCATAGGCAATGCGGAAATGAAGTGTCCATATCATGGAATCATTGTACTCAGAGTGAGGAGAAGGCCGATGCTGGAAGTTCCGAGACTGAGAATCTGGACACAACGCACATGGCGTAGAACAGTCAACAAAACAACAATTCAAAAAGTGCAGGCGAGGAAACATTGCATGCGCTCACACTCCCCGCACATGGCCCGAGGCAAAATTATACCTTTGGCTCCCCCCCAGACGTCCCCGACCTGTAGAACTCTGCGTCGCTGCTCTCTCAGTGAATTCGATCGCATGGCACACTGTGTGAAGCACGCGTCTTCGAGACGCGTACACACCAAGCCGCATCAACCCCTCTGGCGCGCTCGAGATAGACAAGAATAGGCCCAAGGAAGTTGTGAACCAGATGAAATGCAGATGAAATGGATCTTCAAAGACCTTTCGAGGCGGCATAAAGCAGCCCCTGGCCGACATACTGGGTAGCAGCGGCCGATATGCCACGACTGAAATACGCAATGCTCCATTCCCTGCGTGCTCAGCTCGCAAACTGAATGTCAATCTGCTTGCCTGGGTGGTCGGAAGACATTCACGTAGCCTGCAGCATGAAAGACGTGGTGAGCGATGCAGGATCTGGCGGCGTTACGCTTGTCAATGCGAACAGGGCCCTGGGCGGGTTCACGCTATATGCTCAAAGGGTATCAATACGTGTCACCAGTCACAGCAGTGGTACGACATACCTGGGTACCACATGTTAAGTTGAGAGAGATCAGGGAGGGACACATCACACATCGGTGCGGATATGTGCCCGAGTCAGACAGTCGAAGACCGCGGGACGCGCGCTGGCACGGTCACGTTGCCGCGATGCAGACCGTGCAAGCGCCGACGCCGTTTCACTGTGAGGCTCAGCAGAGACAATACGTATATGCAGCGGTCTCGACCATCTACCTCACAGATCAGCGCAATGCTACATTCGAACCACGCTTTGATACCAGGCAGAGTACAATGAGCCGCTACAATCACCAGACATCCATGAATATCGATACAGAGCATTCACCAGGAGAGCGCAGAGACGAGTCGGGAGCAGCGAGGAGCCTAGTCCGTTTCGGAGTCACGATCAGCCTCGGCATCCTCCTCCGCCTCTGCCTCTGCTTCCGCCTCCGCTTCCACAGCCGCGCGATAGATATCGTCCTCGATGTAGATGTCCGCCTCACCCTCCATGGTCGACCCTTGATGGCACGCCGCCGCGTGCTTCCACCTGTCACACCGCGCACCGCGAGCTGCAGTCAGCGCACACAGAAGCGGACGGCGTCAGCGTACCAGTGTATCTCCTTGACCTGCGCCAGACAGTCAGCAATCCCGACACCGAGACGAGCGAACGGCGGCGCGCACCTTCGTGGGGACGTCCTTGACGCCCTCAACGGCGACCCACTTTTTGCACCTGTGGCACTTGCCCTGCATGATATGGGTCTTCTCGAGCTTGCCGACCGTCGTGCGCTGCACGGTCCGGAACGCGAGCGGGGGCGAGAACGGGCGGCCGGTCATCGCGGAGATGCCTAAAGGTGGGTTAGTCATTCACATCGCCATTTGAGTGACGAGTAAAGCGAGGGTACCGTGCGCGTATTGCATGTGGTAGCTGAGGTAGTGTCAGTTAAGAGGGTCAGCGGACAGTGCGTATGAGTGCTCTATTGTCGTGGTGAGATTCAATACGGAGAACAGGAGACGGACGTACCACTTGAACGCAGAGAACTTGGTAGAGAGCCAGAGCTTCTTGTCCTCGCCACCGCGACTCCTGCTCTCCATGCAGCACGGACATAGCCCGACCTGCGCGACAATGAAGACACAATCTACGCGCGG